TCAAATTTTCTTGCCACGAAAATGTGTGTATGTCGTTTTATCAAGTTATTCCATTATAACCTTATTTCATATTACGCATACTATGTATATGACGAGTATACTCGTCATCGATAAATTTTTGCAACATAATATCAACGCACATTTTCGACAAAGGTCGACACAGTTAATTGGATCGTCATAAAGAAACCGCTTTGAAAGTCGACCGCAGAGAGCTGATGCACGTATTAGGATACAAGGGAAGTTTCTTTTAGCTCAGATTCTTCTCCGAAGAATGCACGAACGATCTTTCATATGAAATATATGTAGGCAGTTATTAAAGAAGCTTTAACCAAATATTTGTTTATTTTGGTTTTAAACAATTCAGCTCTCGTGTTATTTAATATCAAATATGAGAAATGGTCGAAAATTAAAAGAATCTCGCTATCGAAGCATTTCAAATTTGAAGACCTTTTCAGTGAGGACCGAGCGCAACAACTAGGCGATGTGAATGGTTAAAGAAAAGTTTGATTGAAATTTCTCAAAACTAAAAAAAGAAACTTTTACTCGTTTTCTCTTCTTTTTCGTTTTTTTTTTTTTCCTAAATGCAATCATTTCATAATAAATAATAAATAGGAAAGAAAAAAACCACCTTTCGATTACAATACTTTTACAAACGGATAAATTAGTAAAATAAAATCCTTTTTTTTTTTTATATATATATTATTATAAAATTTTTGTAATAAATTTAAAACTATTTACAATCTAATCGATATTTATATACACACACTCTAGAGAGCTATGCTAATATTCTCCAAATTAAAGGAAATTAGGCATATTATGTATTAAAAATATATAAATATAAATAAATTAATTAATCAATAATAATAGCAAAATGCAAATTTCCTCCAAAGAAGATTACATTACACATCATTATTATTCTGAAAAACAAATGCCTTCTTTTTCCAATTTTATAAATGACAGCAAAGAAAAAAAAAAACAAACAACTCAGCCATTCATACACTTTGTTTCACGATTAAAAGACATTTTAATTTAATTTGCTTTTATCTCGAAATTTACAACTTGAAGAATATTCAATCGGTTTACACGCCCCTTTAGAGAAATGAGATGAAGTAAAAAGGCTATGGCGGGACATGGCCCATCATGAAATGCCCTGCACCACTTTACTTAATACAGACACTTTAGAAGGCGAGATTTTTCAATATAAGACGACATATGGGAAGTGGTAAAAATGATTCGACCCGAACCGTTTTCAATGAACGTTTCTTGCTTAGGCTAAAACACATCGGTTTAGCAAAGTGCAATAAAATATCTCAAAAATTGCAGCTTCGAGGTTCGACGAAAGAGATCAGGACAGATAGATGGACAGACAGATGGACAGATGAACAGACGGACAGACAAGCAAGATGGGTAACTGATTATATACTCTTGTAGTACAAGTGGTGTAGCGTATTGAAAAAATAAAACAAAAAACTAATAATAATTCTTTAGACAACAGCAGCTTGTGTTTTTGTCACATTATTCATTTATATTACAACACTTTAGAAAATATTAAAAAAAACTGAAATAAATAAGAAATACATAAATAAAAATATATTCCATTGAATTTTATTTAATTTTTTTTTTTTTACATTTAAGTCGATTTATGTAAATAGAATCACGAAACTGCAAAGTATTTACGCTTCATGATAATTATTATATTAATTATATTCAAGCGTTTAAGCGCAATAAACAAACGCATCCAACTGCAATCTACCACAACCACAACCACAACCACAGAATTTGTAGTAAGTTGTTTAAATACCTTTTCACATCTACATATAATTTTTTTCTTTTTCCTATTATTTTATAATTCTTCTTTAATTGCAATAATGTTATGCTAAATGTAGTTTAATAATTTAATTAAACTACTCTTTCGAATTATTTAGGTTTTTTGGAAAGCATCCAAAGTCAAACGGGCAACAACTATAACAACTTCCATGTCATTGCCCGCCGAATGTCTGGTCCTATCTGTATCCATGCCAACCTTAAGTAAAGAAGCGAAAAGATCAAAAAGTGCAGGACCTAAAAAAAGGACTGGTCAAGTGATTCATCCAAAGCCATTTCGCTTATATTAGCGTCGGATGAAATCTATGAAAAAAAAAACAGAAAAAAAAGCAATCGGTCAATTGTTTCGGCCAACGTCATTTCGTTTACATGAAAGGTTGAGTTTTAAAAAACTGTGCCGCATTCAAAAACAAAAAAACAAAAAAAAAAAAAAAGGAAACCAGACAACATGTGATTCATCCAGAGACATTCTGTTTTTATTAGAATCGATCTAAAAACAACATGTGTGAAAAAAGTGGTTTGAAAAGGAAATTCTAATGAAATTTTTTCGAAATAAGGTTTTTTCCATCAAAGCAAAATTGTTGTATCACTTAAATGAAACTTTTTTCCATAAATTTCCTGCGAGAGAAATCTATTGGATTAAGAAGTTTCGTTACACATATATATAATAAATTTTTAAACTAAAAAATAAAACCAAGTTTGAGTTAATCTGCTCATCAGCGAGGTCTGAGGTCATCACTCTTGTATCTTGTTTCGTTACGCAACAAGTTAACAAGCTGGCCAAGGTGAGTTTCGAATTCAATCGCAATCAGGTGATAAAACCTACAAAATCGCGCGAATGGAGTATGTAGAATATATTCGGCTTAATAGGCAACTGAAACAATTGAAAAAAAAGAGGGATCAAAAAACAATACAAATCTATCACTAACACTATCTTTAACAGCCTGAAGTAAGCCATTGGATTTGAAATTTAGTAAAATTTCGATTGTAAAGGTATTTTACCATACGACAAGGGCTCGTCTCTCATCATTTTCAGTCAGTTACTTTACTGGGTTTTTAGATCGTTATATTCGCATGAGAAGAATAAGGAAATAATTGCTGCATGTTTTGCGAGAACTGTGGAGTTTTAAACGATTTAGAAATTTAATATAATAAATTATTATAAAAATAAAAGTGTCTTACTTTTTGGACAAAGTGGAGAGTTCAGTTCGTTCGACACATATATATTTTCCTGTTTTCATCGTTGAATGTGATTGCACTGGCCTGGGATATGAACTAAAATGAAGATGATCAATTCATGTTAGTATTAAGTGAAACATGGTCGTGTACCCATGTACCCAACAAAGAAAAAATGCCATGGAAGAGTGTCGAAATTTATTGAAAGGGTTTCTTGCAGCTACAGCCTCACTTAGGTGATTTCAAAAAGATGATGTCCACCTTTCTAATAAGCGATGCTCTGGGCGACCATCTACGATCGACGATGATGCTGTCAAGATCATATTCCTTGTTTGACAACATCAGAGATTGTGTAAAGCTTGAGTCAGCTCAACGAAAACATTTCGGACCATATTCGGAAGATTCTAAAAACGGAGAAAACTTTCCGGTAGATATAATAAGTCGTCATAAAAAGTATTCCAAACTGAATAATTGCTCATATTTATTTATACTTTAAAACAAGTAGGAGCATTATAGTTGAACCAGGCTGACTCGCCTAGTACACTCGTAGTATGACTCGTCTTAGAGCTAATAAAACAAAAATTACGCATAATTTTCATGCACAGGCATACTTTTCATGAAAACCCGGATATTGAGGATTTTCAAAACGTCACTCGGCGGGATCCAAATTTAGCAAACTTAATTTACTTTGTATTTTTCAGTTTCCGCCATAAAAAACGCGAAATCAGACTTTCCCTCCACATAAGGGGTTACTTTTCTTGATAACCCCTATATATGCCGTTGGGTCAAAAAAATAGACCTATCTGATCCAAATTTTCCTATCGTTAATTCTTTTGCTAAATTTCTACCATGAACCAATTTTCATTATAAAATATTAAAAATTAAACGTTGTTTCTGAAGATCCTACTATTCGTGAGAAATCTTTTATGGAGTGGGGTCCAAGAAACACATTTTCACCACAAACCATTAACAGTTACCACTTTTTGGCATAGGAGGCGTTACATTTCGTGAGAATCCTTATATGCAGTAGTATTCAAAAAATAGACTTACCTGGTCCAAATTCAATGAAAACGATTTCCTTGCCAATCTACTATTATGAACCAATTTTAACCATGAAATATTCAAAATTATACCTTTTTACCATATAGAGATTGCGTTTTTGCAGGAACGGTTATATGGGAAAGGGTTCAAGAAATTGCCGCAGCCGAACCAAATGTTTCATGCTAATTTACAATCTCAAAGTACTAATGCTGAGCGAGTTTTATCAACATTTGGCAAATTGTAATTTTTTTCCACGTAATGGTTTTTCAAAATACCGTCGTTGTGACATGTAATTTTTTTGCCCGATCCTACTCAAAAAGTATAACTTTTCGTTTTAAGATATGATGGTTGCGTGCTGATATTCTGATTTTTGACTTTTGTTTACAACAAGAAAAAAAAAAAAATGCAAGAAAAAAAGAAATTATTTTTAAACTTTAGTATTTTCTTTTTTATTTGAATTAATCTTTTCATAGCAAATTATATAAAATAGAAAAAGTTGTTTTAGTATAAAAACATTTTGTGTCATAAGTAAAAATAATATTTAATTATATTACTAATTTATCAGACGATACGAAACAGTGAAAAAATGCGTTAAAGTTATTTAAAATATGTTATAAAAATTTAAATAAATACTAATATAAAAATAAAAGAAATGATTATGCATTAGTTAAACACACACACACACGCACACACACTTTTTAAGCTAGTAACTGAATTTTTTCAATTCTTATAGAAAAAAAAAAAAAAAAAAAAATGAAAAATACGTACAGCACGTACGTATACTATGTCCCTTTCAATTAATTATAATCTGTTTTCTAATTCAGCTGCCGTAATTAGTATTATTCACAAATGTGTGTGGATATGAAATTTCTTAATTATTTTCGAGAATATTGATTCTGTTACTTTTAATATTCATTTTTATAAAAGAAAAAAAAAAAAAAATTCTTTATGTGTTGCGCTATTTATTACATTTTATTTATAAATACATAAAAAGTTGTATTTTTATTGATTATAAAATGTTTTGTGCATTTTTTGCTTTCCGTTAATTCCGTTTTCATGAAAAGGAAAAGAATTTGAAAAATTTAATTTGGAAACAAAATCCTTTTCTTTTCTCTGATATGCATATAAATTCTAATTGTTCGCGAGGCTCCAATTTTCATAAACCGAAAATAAGCAAAAGAATAATTTTGCTTTTTAATTTTCTAATGTAAATTTTAGTACTTTTCACATACATTTCCCACCAAACGCCTTAAATTGACTAGATAAGCTTTTTCTCTTTCGCAACTTTGCAATTTCAATTTATCAATTTATTGATGTGAATCATAAAGTACTCACTCATCTCTGTTCCTCGATTTCGGAAAAACACAAAAAAAAAATTGTAGAAAGCGCTCCGTTTCGCTTTTACCACGCCCGACGACAACATAGTAATTTAGGAATTTCATTCAATACAATGTATATGTATTCGTGACTATTCCATGACTAAAGTTCGCAAGTAAATTATTGGCCTGTTCGGAAAGTCATTTCGTCTTTACGAATTGCATCTTTTGCATAATTGCATTTTGTTCACAGTCAAGTTGACACTTGACCCGTATATTCATTACCTACTATAAGGCTTGTCTCTTTGATGTCTTATCAGCTTATAGCTTTCCTTCTGCCAACTTTTATGTGGAAGATTTATCATGCTCTAGAAGGTCATTTCAATCTGATCGAGAGAAAATGACGGGATCAACTTAAGTAAACCGGCGAATAACAATTCAAAAGATCGTCGAGAGAGTACACTTATCGATTTCGACCGTTCATAATAATGGATTTATGCGCCATAAGGAATTCGTCTTTCATTTTGATCAAGAAAAACGAAATGACTTTGCGAGAGTTTTGAGTAATCACTGCACTGAGTGATCAGTTGAAATTCTATAAGGCAGTAATGTTTTCCTGCACTTTCTACGATCTAGTAATCCCAACAACGCCAAAGTGGCGAATAGGTAAACACGAATAAATCGATATTGAAAATGTGACATTAATAAAGCTATGTAAGATATGAAACGAGATTAGATCAAAGTTTCCCGATGTGTAAGGTGAAAAACAAAGATAATAAACACCCATCGCCGGTGGCTATAAAAATGCGATAATTCGAACTAAGTTTGAATAATAAAAACAAAAAGATCATCCACTAAGAAGAATTCAACTCAACCTCAGTCAAGTTAGTCAAAACGTTCATTTAATACGCATCCACACTAAGATATGGATTTTTTCGCTTAAATGGTAATCTGGGAAAACGATCAATTACTTCGGGTACAATGAGTTAGGCGATGAGTACTAAACGATTCAGATCAAAATAAATATGAATTTTTCTAAATAACATTTTTTCATTAATTATACAAGTTTTCAATCAAATTTTGTACGTTTATGTGGAGAACACAAAAAGGTAATAACTCTAAATCTGAGTTTACGAATTTCGATTTAAATTTATTGAACCTTATTTGAAGGGCTTTCCAACTTAAAAATTTTATGAAATAAACATAGCACTGCACTATTTTTCAGTCAACAAACAAAATTATATATGTGATATAAATAATGATAATTAAAATGAAACGGTTAGAAGAAATTATGATTCCAGGAGAAAAGAGTGAAGAAGAAAACCAAGCATAAATTATGACGAGGTAAAGTAGTTTTGATTAGTTAGCGTTTTGCTTATTTGTAGTTTTCCTCACCCACCACCACTGTCAATAGCATATACGTAACTCGGGGAAAGAACCAGAGTTAATCAGGGGCTGAGGAAGAATAAATTTATTAAAGTGCTTTTAATCTCATATGGTTGCCATTATTGAAAAACAAACTATTAAGCATTGAGTATGTACGTAAGTATATCCGGACAAAATCTAAACGTATAGTAATAGTATATGCAGGTGGTAGGTATTCATCATTCGGTAAAACCGAATTGGTTTCATTTTGCTCTTACTATTTTAAAACACGTTTATGTATACATGTATTTTCGAAAATCATAATTAAATTTGTAAAGGGTAGTGCTGATGATGATGGATTACATCTGATTCGTTTTTTTCTGTTCTATAAAAAATACGTACATACACTCACATATAGTGTAGGAGGAGGATGGAAAAGACTAAAGAATAATGTGACACGCTTACAGACACATACACATATATATTTACATTACTATACACTTTCGTTGGCGTCGTTTTTGAGGTTCTGGTCTTAAAACGGCTCGCACCGCCTCTTCGAACACCTAATGACAAAAAACAGAAATTACTATTCATTCATTTATTCATTCATTACATGTCACTTTTAATCCAATGCTTACTTGTTTAAGACCTCTTTGCGTAAGTGCAGAACATTCCATGTACTTAACAGCTCTAATCTTATTTGCTAACTTCTGGCCTTGTTCACGTTTTAAAGGAGCTAAACCTTGTTCACCCAAAGCACTTAAGGTTTCACGGTCTTCTCGTAAATCGATTTTAGTACCTGTAGTAATAAAGCATTAGCAGATTAATTAAAGACTGAATTTGATTGTTATTACTAACATAAGATATATATATATATATATACTATATGTTATTACTAATAAAGGGAGGTTTATATTAGCTTTGCAGCTTAAAACAAGATGTTTTACTAATTGAAAAAAGCTAGGGGACCTTGACGATGGCCTGTTCAAATTTTTGCCATTTTTGGCAAATGGTGATGTTTTTTCTTATATAGATCATAAGTTACTACTTTTCGTTCGATATGCAAACTTTCAACTTTCTATCTTAATTTTTGCTACCATTCTACCTATAATATAACTTATATGCTTTCTGATGTGCTCGTTTACATGTTTCAAACGGAAGTACAAATCCAATATATTCCTTACATCCTAACCATATATAATATAAGGGTCTTATCATATGTTCAACCGCATAACCGCAACGATAAACTATATACACGTGAATAGCAAGTAAAAAGTAGAAAAAAAACCAATACATACCTACTAAAATGATGGGCGCATCTGGGCAGTGATGTTTAATTTCGGGATACCATTTTGAGGTCACATTTTCAAATGACGACGGACTAGCTACAGAAAAACATATCAGGAATACATCGGTTTGAGGATATGACAAAGGACGTAATCTATCGTAATCCTCTTGTCCAGCCGTGTCCCATAAACCCAGGGAAACCTGTATTGTATCTACTTGCATAGGCGCTGAATAATTGTCAAATCTGTAAAACATATGAGGAGAGATGAATAAAAATTCAAAACAAAAATTGTTTTATGCCGCTTACACTGTAGGCACATATTCTCCAGGAAAACTGTCTGTGGTGTATGAAATTAACATGCACGTCTTGCCAACAGTACCGTCACCGACAACAACACATTTAATAGGTCTGCCTGTCGACATCTGAAAAGAAAATGTTTCAAAAAATACATTATATGGTTTATCATAATTGTGGTTCGAAATATTCGAAAGATTTAATTCTTACGAGCTACTCGAGAAAAATCCAAAATCATTAATTAATTTAACTTAATTTATATTTCAGAGGAATGACTTTCGTGCGTAACATGTATCTCTCAATTATTTCGCTGTCTTTTGTGCTCTTCTAGCTTTAATTGCCTATACCGTCTGCACTCATACATGTGTAGAGCTGTAGTAGTTCTGATAAACAGACGTTAATCAAGAATGTATATAAATCATCAAATGGAATGACGAAACAAATGCAACATGATGATAAAAATTATCTAAATATATTATATCTTGCATTGGACTGAATATGTTTACCACGTACGTACGTACGTACGTAGAGTTGAAGATGAATCTTATATATTTACGCATGGATTTTGTTTTATCTGCTTTCTCTTAATGAATTATGAATGGAATTGATACTTGATATATCAATATTTTTGAAGTAGTTGAAATAACATATCATGAGTAGATGCAGATACACACGAAATTAGTAAAAATAGATTTACTATAACGTAATATGAAGAAATGAATTCTTAAGAAGAAAAGACAAACATTTTTATTTATAAATGGATTTTGATGTAAATTTTCTAGAAACCGAGACAATTATTCAGGTGCAAAATATTAATATTGTCGTTGTAGCATTGAAGAAGAGAGAATATATTCATCTTCTATATCGGCTCAGGAATTTAAAACAAAAAAAGAATGCAAGTTACTTTGCCAGTTCGAAGATCTCTCAGCAATATAAAAAAGATTAAAGTAATTTTTTAAATAAAGTTTCTTAAATCCTTCTTATTTGATATTAAAATTCGTCGATTTGAAAACTTGAACACTTCCCTTGATTAAGACTATAAATGTAATGAAACACAAAAGTCGAACTTGATCTAATTGAATGATGTATGAAGATTAAGCAAAAACAACTAAACAACAATTGATTTGTTTCCACGCTTCGCTTCTATAAAGCACTTATGAATGAATAATGAATTAAATTTAATTGTGCAACAAGCAATACGCTTTCTATTAAAAAAACCACATGCCTGTTACCTTTCTTAGGTGTTCGAAATTAAAGCTGGTAAATAATTGTCACCTTTGTAAAAAAAAAAGTTATTCTTTTTGTTGACATTTTTGGGCGGAGGTGCTGCGCTGATCATCTACCTAAGTGAGTATTTGGAAATCATAGCTAAAATATGACACACATATGTAAGAGACTGTGTCTACACATACGCAACCACTGTAACGCCAACTTCCTCTTATTATTATTCAACAAATAAAAGTGGTCTACCTTATGAAGAGATTTATTTCGAGTTACACAAATCCAGATAAAATTATTCCCTTTAATTTCTCACTTTTTACTTTTTTCTAAATTTATATGTTTTTTTGTTAATGTTTTTGTTTTTCGGGCACAGTCATTTATATTTTTGACCTTTTCACTTTCAATTATGCAAGCCTTCACATCTATATAAATGTATATATGTGTATACACATATAGATATATATATATATATTTTTATTAATTAATTTAAATGAAACTTATTGCACGAATAATTATATATTTCTATTCTTTATTTTACACGTTCTTCCTTATTTCTTTTTAGTTCTTGTTATGGAAATGTTTTGTCACTTCTCTTCACTTTCTAAGTGCAGAGTTGTTAGCGTACACACTCTAAAGTACTTTCGATGACAAAAAAGCGCTGAAATAAGCTAAAAGAAATCCACAAGGGCAGAGTTGCCAAAAGTGTCTTATTACTGATAACCATGTGCTTGTTTATTCGCGGTTGTCGCAACACCAAGTATAACTTAAAAGAAATTAAGAAATTTTATAATCGCGAATTTATTTTCAAACATAGAAGTGTGCCTAAAGAATTTTCAAATTCAACTGGTACGAACTTATTATTATTATTATTATTATTTTAATTTTAGACTAATGAAATGAATTCTTAGACTAAAAAAAGACATTGAGCACTAGCAACACAGGCTATCGGCTCAGGGTACGAACTTAATTCAGCTGTTAATCTGAAAAAGACTTTGTAGAATCGAAAGTTTATAATGGTGTAGGCCTACAGGGGAGCCAGCCATTCAAAATAATTGGCACGGCGCCCACACTTTACCTCTAAGGTGGTGCGGATATTCTTTTGGTGAAGATAGCAATAATTGTGCTAAGCTCCTCTTATCTAAGTAGCAGTTAGGCCAAGTCCGTTCTGATCCCGACAATTTATGAAATGCTTTGAAATAAAATTTACAATCATTTATTGACATTAATCATAAAACTTATGATATCCTGTTGCTGCCATATATCCTAAAATATTTCAAACTTCTAATCAACTAGTCTGGAACGGTAAAATCAGATGCATAACATTGTACGGGTACAAAATGGTTTTACCGAGTACGATATTTTAATATGCAACACAGGCTGTGCGGGATGTCAGACGTTAAGTCTACTACAGTTTCTTTGGTTAAATCATTTGTAAAGGAAACATTATAAAGGGATTGAAAAAAGTGGAATAAATCGGCACTTGGTTGATGTATGTTGAAAAAGGTAGGAGGTTTTCAATAATTTTATCATTACGTGAGCATGCAAAGAAACACAAAAACAATTGGTTATGAAGCACAGTAAAAGAAGCAATGTACAGCATACAGGTTGCATACTTCGGTTGGTTAGGAGAACTAAGACGTGCGACACAATGTGTTTTGTAAGCAGGAGACGTAGAAGAAGGTCGTCTTTACCTATACAAGAATGTTAACTTTCTTTGCAAACTTAGAGATCTCGCTGAACATTGCAATATCAACTAATCGCACACAACGTTAACAACTAATTCATCTGCAGGACAACGCCTTTTGGGGGCTTAATGACGAGTGGAACTATAAATCGGGGCAGCAATGTAAATTAATAATTATCTCTAAATGATAAATTTTTTTTTTTTTTTTTTTTTGTTTATTAGGTTTATAAAGTATAATAGTGACTTTAGCGAGTTATTTCGGGATTTGGCCTATTCCAAAAAAATTGTATTCGCATACAAAACGTACGCATTGCAACAGCAGGTTGCGTTCATGTCGAATGTCTGGCTCCAAAAGTTTTTCCAACATAGTATTTTGTTTTCTCAAACGTACCTTGTTAAGATTGAAAGCAGGCTTTTTCTTTCTTTGTTCTCTCCGAAAGGCGGGAGCCTGTTGGGGAACTTTATCTTCCACTTTCAAAGCCATGTTTGAATAATCGGCAGAATGTTGATGCTGCTTTCAACCCAATACAATCGTAAGCTAGACAATTACACTTTAACAATTTTGCCCGATTTGCCGCCTGAGCATTTAAAGCGATTCTTGAATACGTTTCCAAAAATCAGAACTGAGTGCGAGCAAATCCAAGAGTGTTAGAATATATTAAAGACATTTAATAATATCAGTCAAGTGCAGGGAAATGAGATATCATCTGCTGCTAAAGAAGGCCAAGAGAGCGGCCTATGTTGGGGACATGAAATTAACTGCGCAAGAGAACTGCGCTTCCAAACTCCTTCTTGCTCTGGCGATCATACGGGTTGGGTGCAAAGTAAAGAGGCCCAAATCAATACATTTTATTATCAAGCCGATTTTGGTTACATACAACAGCAGATTAATGAATTATTATTAATGTGCGAACAAAAATTTTTGACCGATTCATCTTTGGAATGCAATAAATATTTCAAATTGTGTCGTGGTCGCAATTTGTTGTTCGATTTCCGTAATTTAGCATATCGCGATGCCGTCCCTATATACATCCTCTAGCCCGCAGATTCTCGCATTAAATTGCCCGAAAATATTAAATAGCACATAGGAGTCTACTTGAAGACTAATTGGATTAATATAACGTAGAGGAAGTTTTTTAGAATTTTGCAGGCGATTCTCAGATATTTCGAGGAAAAAGAAGAAAATAGTGCGGACGATTTATAAATCTTTCAAAAGATGTATGTACTGAAAAGGCCTAACTTTCAAAAAAAAAACGGACAAGCACAAGGTGAATTGATGATTTCGAACGAATGCTTTAGATGGACGTGTTTTCTTACGACGAGAGTCGACGTAAACGCGAAAGTAAGTAATTATGGCAGAGATCGTTATCGTGAAACTTATAACTTTTCCCCGTGTTGACCGAAGTATTTGAACCGCGAAGAAACGAAAATTCTAAAGGCAGCCGGAGGAACGACAGATATAAGTTGAAGTCTGACTGAATAAATTACCTAAAAAATCTTCAACAAATGTCGGTGAAGGAGCAATGATATCTCATTAATGAGTTGACGTAAGTGTCCTTGGTTTTGTGCGCAGTCACTTTATTTCTTACTTTCCGTACATGCCGGAAAAGAAAATATTTAAAAAGTATAGCTTATGAAAAAATTAAGCTTTCCTTTAAAGTCAGTTTCGTTCAGTACGATCTAATAAAGCAGTTGAAAATATTCAACAATTGGATTTTCGGCAACGTTACAAAAAAGTCTCAACTTTATTTTCTCGCGCAATTAGTACCAGAGCCACATTCACTTTGCTGTTTGATATGCAAAATATGTAAAGTACATACACACACTCACTCAAAAACAAAGGAATGAATATAAAAAGCAACGGAAAAAATTTCATTCGTCTAACAATGAATATTGGATACCAACCACCGTTTAATTCATCCAAAATATATCTCTCAGGTTTTCTATCAGAATGCTGCAATATCCTAGATTTCGGTCATTTGACCTTTTAGGTATTGCTTCTACAGACTGGCAGATGGACTTACTGAATCATTAATTCAAAATGTGTTTAAGGCATACATTTAAATGTAAAAAATGTTACAAAAGCAATAACGAAATGAAAATATATGCATATCTTACGGTTGTAGTTGAAAAAAAATCTCATAAAAACCCAAGGACAAACTCCTGAATGTTATCTGCGTATTGCTGCTGCTTTTGCTAGTCAAATATGCAACAGGCTGCACCCAACCGCCACAAGAACGAACGAATACAGTGTAAATATGTCCGCATGTGAACACAAGCACGCCTATGTACCTATTGTGCAATATGTATATGAAACGGGAAACGGAAACGATATCGCAAAAATGAGATAAAAAATTTAATTTCATAAAATTTGAGATGAGCTAAATTTGTTATACTTCAGTTTGAAGGCGAGGTAGAGCAGCAACTGCTAAAAATCACGGAGATGTAAATCAAGGCCTCTTCTCTAAATAAAAATTAATGTTGATTGTCAGTGGAAGCTTGTTAACATTTTTTAAAGGCATTGTAAAAAATTACACTCATTGGTATGTCAATTGCGTGACATTTTAATTTAATTTTATACAACCATCAAGCCACCCATCTGGGTGACATGCCGTGCTGTGCATTACAATCTCGTGGCATAGAATGACTTTAGACGGTCGTATTTATGTCAATTTACTGCTCGTATGGAAGCATTTTTTCCAGCTAGTGTAACAAATCAGTCTTCATCTAAAGATTTCTGATCAGGTTTAAATAGTTCCAACGCAGTTTGTAATCAAATGGCTCATTGGGGAAATCAAGTGAGCGTTTTTAACTTTTTTGGGTTTTGTGTTTCGTAGACATTCTTGACACCGTCGCCGAACGTAGCAGATATAAAGGAAAACAATGGTTTCATTTCCTTTAAGGTTACCCTTCTTCAAACTCGATCCTCATTAAATTGGTCATTTTGTGCGGCCTTTGTCAGAAACTTCCGAGGTACTTTAAAAACATATTATTAAAATAATCGCAAACATTTCTAGTCCATACATGATGTTAGTCAATAGTCTCTTGGCGCTTTCATGTTTCTTACGATGTTCAGTTGTAGCTACACCCCTCTACTTTTGATAAAATGTTTACTTCGCATTGATAAGAACGAATGTAGGTGTGGCTTTCTAAGCTTGAAAAAAGGGAAGGTAAATGTAAAAAGTGATAGCTTAATAGGTTTTCAAGAGATATTTTAGATTTTGTAAATTTTAAAGTGTCTTGGACGCTATAATTGATTTTGCGAACTTACCGAGTAATGACGGTATATGCAATTATCTATCGAAAAAACTTCTAATAGGGGATTTTAGTGCAAAAGCTTTGTTCGTCTTTTCTCTGGGACTGTTGGATTGTGACCTAAGAGACCTAGTTACATTACCTACCTTTAACAAGACAACAATTCAAGATATTATGGCTGTAAATGAATGCTTTTGGGGGTAGTGGCAGATGATTATTGAAGAGTGTTTATGAAATTTTACAACATCACAAATACTTGTAGGCTTAGAAAATTGTAATATAAAAGAAATGAGCATTCCTTGCTTCGGCAAGTAGCCCTCCTATAACACGGTAGGTAAGAACGTTTCTACCAAGTTCAGTGTTTTGTGAAACTGCGAAAAGAGAGGTAATGTTGCAAAAGCCGTTAACGATTTTTTTTTTTTTTTAATTACCCATAAGAAACTAACTAGTAAGCTAATGGAAAATTCTGTTCGACAACCAAGTACAAGGACATTCATTTTACGTACATTTCGGTTCTCTCTCTTTTTATGACT